TCCGCCCTCTCGCCATGGCGGACGACACGGAAACTGCCGAATCACCCACCCCACGGCCCAAACCACCTGTCACGGGCCTCGATTTCCTACGCCGTTCCCAGCCAGCCGCCGTGTTAGGCGCCTCTTCGCCGACACGCGTACCACCGTCTTCTTCCCCGAATCGGCAGGATGTCGCTCCTGTAGACTGGCCTGCTGTTAATGCTAGACGGGCTTTCAGTAGCACACCGCCTGTCTCCCCTAGTACCTCTGCACGGATTAGAGCTAATCCTAGATCGCAAGCGGCGCCTAGCACTTCACGTGGTACTGCCGTGGGACGATTCTCAAAGGCAGGCCGATATACCCAGAGCACGCTGCGTATTGCAAAGACGGGGGTTCCTCACGTCCGCATCGTGTCAGGACCCACGCCAGAGCCTAGAGTTGAGGCTGCTGCTGCATCAACAGCACCAGCAGCTCATCCCACAGGTGATCCTGGGCCTTCCAGGAGCACCATCCACGTCCCTGATCCAGACGCGCTTATGGAGAAGCTCCACGAGCTGTCCAAGGAATTTTGGCGCGACAAATTCAAGTGGCTGATTATCACGCAGAGGAAGGACGGGACGCCGTGCATGAAGTGCAGTATATGCATGGCTCACGGTCCAGCCCACTGGAAGTTTGGTAAATACGGCGAAGGTGGCGTTGATATCCAGCGGCAAACAATGCGGAAGCACGCGCTCAGCCTCAAGCATCAAGACGCAGTCAAAGCCAAGCTTCGCGCCGAAGGCGGTAAGGTTGCACAGAGGGGCATTGAGCAGTTCGAAAACGACGACAACGAGACTTCTCGGTTGAAACAACTGATGCTGGTCGTGCTATTTATCTGCAAATCCGATTCCCCCATCTCCCTGTTTATTGATCTTGTTCGCCTGTTGGGTGAGCTTCAGACGCCGCACATCCCGGACAAGTCCATAGGGACATACCAGTCAGCGTGAGTGAAATTCTTTCTTGGTTTGTGTTTTTATTGTCACTACGACTAATACCACCTTCACTGTGTTGTGCAGGTACGGCTTCCGTGAAATTACCGAAGCGATCGTCACCAACCTGAGGCAGCAGCAGATGCGCCACATCCAGGCGTCTCCGTTCTTAGGAATTCAACTCGACGAGAGTACCGACCGGCGCAGAGGCAAGCACATGATAGTCTATCTTAGCTTCATTCGCGACGCCGAGGTCGTCACCGAGCTGTTTGGGCACCTGACAGTCGAGAAGTGCGACGCGTCGTCTCTGCTGACAGTACTTCTCGCCCATTTGGCCGTGACGGGCGTCGACATCATGAAACTGACGGGCATCAGTACGGATGGCGCGAGCGTGATGCGGGGTTCACAGGCTGGAGTGGCGACCCAGCTGAAACTGCGAGTCCCACACCTGGTGACGTGCCACTGCATCGCTCACAGGTGCGATGACAAAATCTCTCTGGCGGTGGTGTATGATCTTGTTGTCAAACGTTTTTCAGTGTTCTAACCGCTTCTTTTTGCACACTTGCAGGGAGGCTCTCGCCGCGAAGGACGCGGCGGAGGCGGTGCCCGACCTCAGCATGGTCGACACGGTCGTGCGGAGCATCGCAGAGAACTTGGGGAGGAGCATCGTCTTGCACTCCCGGTTCATGGAGCTACAACACATCCTGCACGAGACGTCTCTGGAGGTGCAGGGTTTTAAAGACGTTCGATGGCTGGCGCGTGGCGATGCGATTCGGAGGCTCGTGGAAGTCCTACCGGCGGCGATAGTGGTGTTGTGGGAGCAAGACAAGAAGGCCTACAAGACAGTCTCGAGTTTCAAGTTCCACTTCTTCCTGTTTTTCCTGGCAGATGTGCTGAAACTGCTCAACGAGCTGAACCTCAAGTTTCAACGGCGCATGGTGAGCAGTAGAGAGGTCCGTGCTGATGTTCATGCACTCGAACGTGTCTGACGTTGGCTTCTTGCCGTGTGCAGGTGGACATCACCCGGGTGGCATCAATGGTCCACAACACGTGCGACAAGCTGAAGCAGCGATACATCGAGCACGGCGTCAACTACGCTGAGGATAGCGAGTTGCTCACCGAGTTCATGGAGAAGCACGGAGCGTTGGACAAGCGGGAGGTGACGGTCGAAGGCATGGATGGGGAGGGAAGTCCCGTTAAACACACTTTCATGCTGCACGAGGACGCCATCAAGGGACAGAAGTCAAAAGGCGACATAGAATCATGCATCACTGTAACCCGCCTGTTTGCGCAGGAAATTGTGAAGCACCTCCTGAAGCGGATGGAGAGCCTAGACACCCTCACCGGAGCGAAGCTTTTCCTGCCTGACGCGTACCCCGAGGGAAGCGCGAAGAGAGACCGCCTCTGCCAAGCCTGGTTCCAGTCTCTCCGCACGCTGTTCAGTGCGGAGAAGTGCGTACTTCCAGGTAATCTGTGCGTCTCTGTTGTGCGTCAATGTTACACGCTTGGTGATATGGTACCGCCACTGACTTATCTCCCCGTTGGCCCCCGCCCCTCTTGTATTTGCAATTGTGCGTGAGCAGGAGTGAGCTGGAAAAAGGCGGGACGAGAACTGGTGCCGTTTACCAAGATGATGGCCTCGCAGTACAAGGACCAGACCTTCCACGCCGGCCTCAAGCACATGTTGCGCAGCGACGACTGGGAGACGAGCTACCCCAACATGGTCCGCATCTGGATCGCCCTCGCCGTGCTGCCGCTGAGCACCGTCGAGTGCGAGCGCGGCTTCTCGAGGCAAAACATCATCAAATCGTGGCTCCGCGGGAATCTGTGCAACACACGCCTGGCGGACCTGATGTCGGTATCGCTCCTGCAGTACGAGCCGAACTGGGAGGACGTGGTGGCTGCTTGGAGGGGGGCAAAGAAGAGGCGCCCTGCTAAGGAAGTGACGACCAAGAACACTCCAGAGAGAGCCCCAAAGCGGAAGGCCGAGAGAGGAACGTCAGCTGCTGCCTCCAATGGAGACGAAGATGATGAGGAGGACGTGGTCAGGCGGAGGACCTCTAAGAAGGGCAAACCACGTGCAGCTGTAGCAGTGTCGGACGACAGTGATGATGACAATGGGCTTGATGTCCGCGCCACGATAGTAGAGTCTGACACTGAGTAGACTAGACTAGAGTAGATGTAATTTGTAGTGTAATAACACCTCACCAGTAGTTACATAATTTTTTATTTGATAGTTCTTTTACCGTAGTATTTAGCTTTAACTTCTGCTAGAGTTGATGCAATGCAACCCAAAAAAAATAAAAATCAGACAAGCCAGTGCTTTAAGATCTGACAGATCAGACAGAGATTTTGGAAAATCCTGATCCACCAGACAGGGCATCACTCAGCCCACTGATGAAGCAGACGGGCCCGAAGGGCCCGTCTGCTCCATCAGGCTGCCTCAGATCCTAGCGACGTCCCTGCTGTAGGGAACACTGATGTATCATACTTTTTTTTGTAAGTAACACTCAACTTTCAGACTTTTTTTTAGGCGACCCTGACGATCAGGGTCTAGGGGCAGATGGACCCTGATACCCTTACGTGCCTAAAAGTGAATCTGAGGGCCTGGCCGTCTGCTCCGACGGTCCAGATGCATCTCAACCGTCTGGCGTTTCGAGTCAACTCTGACTCTTCACATTCGTTCTCGATCAGGCCCTCAGATTCGTTTTTGGCCTGTCTGATTCGTCAGACTAGTACAAAGTTTTAGTCTGAAAATCTCAGACTTGGTATAGAAAAAAGGCTGAAATTTCAGAGTGTCTTAAAACAAAAGTCTGATCATTCAGAATCACTGTATTCAATGTTCCATAGGAAGTGTATTCGATGTTTCATTCATCTGCTATCGAAACATGCTCTGACAGGGCGAATATATGTGTCAGGGAGAATCTTGTGGTGCGAATGGGCGAATCTGCAATGTCAGAGCGATTTTGCTGTGATTGGGCGAAGATTGTTGCACTCTGACAGCGCAAATCTGGTGCGTCAGGGCGATTTTCCTATGATTGGGCGAAAATCTAGTGCTGTAAGACTCGGATTTGCGGTGTCAATTCGAATTTGCGTTGACAGTGCGAATCTGCTGTGACCCGTAACTCCGAATCACCAGTCAAGGATGCGTTTGTACGTTGAATTATCAGAGTACACTCTCAGGAAAATCTGAGCTCTCAGAGTTAGTCTTAAAAAAAGTCTGAAAATTACAGAGTTGAGGCCCAGAAAAGTCTGATTTTATCAGAGTACATAGGAAAAAAAAATCTGAAATATTAGAGAAAAATGCCCTTATCAGAGAAATAAGTCTGACTTCTGAGGGCCTGTTCTCAATCATGCATGCTTCTTTTAGCTGCGATCGGGATTGCATCGTAATCTTCATTCATTGCTATTAGTAACAAGGGGCACTTTATTGCTTACACAAATCTGGATGGTTACGCTGACGAACTCTCTACCGTGGGACTTGCTGGTTGGTGCCCAACCATCTTTCAAGATGCAGTTTTGCCTTTATCAACTGTATGTTGCCAACAGCTATTGTTGTCCCAGGCAGGCACCGGCAACCGAGTAGACAATTGCTCGCAATGCAGCAGTAGTGTTTTTAGTAATCAGTCGAAGGAAAGCTAGCTTTGCCAAGTACTGACCGATCACTCAAAAGCTTTTCTGTCTAAAGAACCCTAGACTCTGCAGCCCATGCCGGATGGTACTGTGGTGATTCGCCCCAAGTACTTGCAATGCGTAATAAATGATGACATGGAGGGAAGCATTAGGCTGCTACTGTCCTAAAGCTTTTTTTTTGTTAGGAGGCGATTTTACCATCAGATAATCTTGCACACAAGCGTCCTCCCTCCTTAACAGGCGGTCTGCTTACACCTTGCAGCCCAAGTTGACAATTGCGGCACCTCTGTACAGGGAAACAAGAGGAAGTTAGAAATCAGCAGTGAGCGAGATCAAGCAATAAAGATGTTACAGCTGAATGCTTTCGAAAACGAAGTTGAAACTCGAATCAAAAGCGTACAGTACTTTACAGTACAGTACCTGTTCATCGGAGAGTGATTGTCCAGGACCTTGGACGCGCCAGTGGCGGAATACGCCCACAGAAGAGTGTTCTTCGCACCATACTTCACGGGGACAGTACCCTTACTACCGGCAGTGCGGGTGAACCTGCTTGAACGACCGAGGAAAGACAAACGCGTGTGCTTAGAAACAGACGACGGATAACGGAAAATGGACTGACACGCACCAAGGTCTCTTGCTAAGATGTTGATTGGAGGAAGAAAAACATTGAAGCGATTCCGCGGTTTAAGCCCGCTTGTACTCACTTCATGATAGTCCCCTGGGCGTTGGTAACCACGCTCGTCTTCGTAATCGCGAAAGCCTTCGTTGGTTTCACATCGGCCTTCGCGATGGACTTCATGAAGTACGCATCAATTTTCTTCGGGCCTTGCAGGTTGCCGATCACAGCATCTGCGCGGGCCATCTTGCCCGCTGCGGAGAATCCGACGGACAACCAGCCCTTGTACGCGTTGCTCGTGGTTTTTGCCTCCAACGCGAAATCGACGGCGGTTGGGCTGTTCTTGAAGTGGAGCAAGAGCCTGATCATGCGACATATTCGAGGGAGGGTACAGCAAATGCCAGAATGAGTTTGCACTGTCTCTTTGCTTTCCATGATGGACGGGAACGGTTAGGCGAGCCACGGAATCTGGAGGTAAGAATTCATGAAACGAGAGACAAGGTGAGTCGAATTGTTAGGTGATCAGAGGTGAAACAACGCTAGGAGGTACTAAATCTAGTCGACTTAACCCCAGTGCCCAAAACCACGTAACACATATTTACCCACATAACCCATATTTACGGCGTATGATACAGTAGAAATGACTTTGAGTTTACTGAAAAGCCACCTTGGTTGCAACGACAGGAGGAGGTCACTGGCATCGAGCAATGTCGCAATGAATTGAATTGTGCGACATTGCTGAGGCATGTCGCGATACAGCACAAGCTGTGTGACATTGCTGCGACGCCGCAATGTAGGCAAGCCGTGCGTGGTTGCGGAACGATACACATCGATACACATACCTCCTAGATTATTAATTCGAGTTTTCACGAAACAGAATTGGAGACGTCTCCACGCACATCGACCAGTTTCGGAGAACATTAGACTCGATTCAAAAGACTGGACCTTACCCTTTTTTTAGAGTGACCACAGCGTAACCAGAGTATAGCTTCGACTTGGAGCATGCCAAAGCCACTGGCGCGGCGGACACAAGCACGTGATCTGAAAAGCCTCCAACCAGGATCAATGCGAGGACGGTGAGGGACGCGAAACGCGCCAGTCCATGCTGGTGAACTGAGGAGTGGAGTCTGGCCATAGCGGCGAGAGGAGAACTCGTTGGACGCGGAGGCGAGAGAACTGGCGGAACGGAGACGCGAAACACCGCAGCACTCGGAGGGATGAGCTGGTTGCAGGGAGAACGGTGAACCAGGCGGCTTTTGGGAGACTGGTGTGCAGTGCTTGTGAGAAAAGGCTCAGGAGGGTAGATATTAGTAGTGTGTGGTGGACCCGTAAGGCTGTGAAGTTGTACATGCTCGTTCAGGTCTGTTACTCTTGTAAGTGTCAACGGTGGGGTGCGGGGCGGCTTGGATGGAGCTTGGTTCGACGCGGATGAAACTTGGTTCCCTCGCAAAGCCGTGCCCGAGGCGCGTTGGCATGGTTATGGCGTGTCGGTGACACGCTGACGTCGTGCTGAATGCGCGCAGCCGGTGTGCTATGTCAGGATGGGATTCGGAAAACCCATTCAAAAGGCAGCATCCGCTCTCCCGCCGACGTGCACCCGCGGTCGAATCGTTCATTGACATGTGGAGAATGATCTGGCGGTGGTCTGTTTCATTCAATTGATACTGCCCTTTCGCAACATTCCCTCCCATCTGTCGCAACTTTTTGGGCATTTATCTTAGCGGTAACACTCATTGGGGTCGATTGCACGCAAGGTAAGCCACGCGTCCAAATCGTAACTAAAGTATCTTCCGATTGCCTCCATGGTAACCAACGTGCCAGTTTGGTCAGCATTATTTCCAGAATGGTAATGAACAGTGCATTCCGAAATCCCAACTGGTAACTCGTCAGAACATCCGCGATGTACACCGTACGTACCCTGTATGACTCGGCAAAACTGAAAATGAGATGGATATAGGCTTCGCATTGTAACATATTTGTTATAATTTCACGTTTATAACTTGAACACGTGTAGATGATAGTAAAACAATAAATGCTATTATGTTTGTCAAATTGTTGTCTTGACTAGGGATTACGAAATTAAAATGGATCCTGAATACGGTGTCTACAGAATTTATGTGCTATTATGCGGGCTGCGTCCATTTTAATTTCGTAATCCCTAGTCAAGACAACAATTCGACAAACATAATAGCATTTATTGTTTAACTATCATCTACACATGTTCAGGTTATAAACGTGAAATTATAACAAATATGTTACAATGCGAAGCCTATATCCATCTCATTTTCAGTTTTGCCGAGTCATACAGGGTACGTACGGTGTACATCGCGGATGTTCTGACGAGTTACCAGTTGGGATTTCGGAATGCACTGTTCATTACCATTCTGGAAATAATGTTGACCAAACTGGCACGCTGGTTACCATGGAGACAATCAGAAGATACTTTAGTGACGATTTGGACACGTGGCTTACCTTGCGTGCAATTGACCCCAATGAGTGTTACCGCTAAGATAAATGCCCCAACTTTTTTGGCGAACGCGCTCACCGAGATTCGTTGGCCCGTTTGCGCGGTGCTTGGCTTCGAGCCCTGAGCACTCAAAGCGACGAACCGCGATTACTTCCAAACCAACCGGAGGAGTGATCGGCAGCGTCCACCGCCAACCATATTCTTTCAACCCAAAACAGTTGTGATGTCCACCAATTTCATTGGTCAGCAGAATTCCGGACACTGATAGGGGGGACACCAAGCTTGTACACTTGATATGTCTTTTTCTCTACATATTGCTTGAAAAACCACTCATATACTGAAACCTTGAACATTTTGTGTGTGATCCCAAACCCAGTGCTAGGAAGTTTTACAGATGAATTATTAGAATAAACAACACATACAGGCAAATTATATACAGGAGCTATAAAAAGATAGGCATACATGCCAAATGTGGGGAGGCTTTGATACGGGTTCGGACGAGCGAAGTCCGAGGAAGAGAACCAATCATTGAGCATTCGTCGGCAAAAAATGAATTTGTGCTAGCAATTGAGGCCCAAATTAAGCCACCCAAAGATGTTTCACTCCACTCCGCGCCCGTATGGCATACAGTATAAAATTCTGAAGGCCAAATACGTCGTTATAAACTAGCAACGCTTGCAACACAGCGATCACGAGTGTGCTGTGAGCCTCTGCCTTGAGGCGGTCCAAACTCCCCCAGTTCAGGTTTTACGTGTCCCGCCAAACGAGAACAAGTTCTGGTGGTGCCGGTGACAGCCAAAGCCGTCTTTTCTGGGTTTCACCGACTGGAAAAGACTTGGGAGAGCGCAGATTGGTCAGATTCAAACGACCGTCAAGACTTTTAACCAGCAGCCGGGAGATGTCACCTGCTTTTTTTTTTTAGATGCATACAAAGCGTCGGCACGGCAGTCGTAACTGCCGGGAGATGTCACTGTTTGATAAGGCCGTTCACCAAAAGCCACCGAACCGCGGATTGTGTAATCGCGCGCCCGTTTCGCGGTCAGACTTGCAATTTCGATCAGCACATTTCTCCCGCCCGCCCTTTTCCGCCAACCCAGTTTCCCATTGAAGAAGCCATCCGATCACCCACCCATTGCTTCTTCACTCACATGAGTCAGACTGGAACAACCAGCCGTTGTTGCTGGGACAAGGACGTCGCTTCTCAAGCACATAGCCAGCACATAACTGCTGACGTAGTCGAATCTATCGCTTATCTGAATATTCGGAAGCACAAGAAGGGATCATTTATCGCTTCTTTTCCTCGTAGAACCACCTTCCTTCCGAGTTATGGACAAAGGTCCTTCAACGCATTAGAGAGTGACGAAGCGTTGGTATTGTCTGTTCGCCTGTACCTTCTCCTTTGATCATAGTAACTCGTTCTGTCGCTTCATCTGCTCCTCCTTATCTACGGTCACCTTGTCTCTGACGCGTGTCGAACAAAGACGCTTTCCGTCGAGAACCTTCTGGATGGCTTTCTTCCCGTGTCATCCGTCAGTCAGATTTCAACTGAGCCCGTTCACCCTCGCATCTAGCAGCGCCTTGCTTCTCGTACTGCTCGTATCGTCCACGTCAGATATCCCATCAATACCCGCCAGGCAGGGAAGCCTTCAGTCTTCCCGCAGCGCCGGTGTTTTTTTTCGACTAGCTGAGGCCAGGGACTTACCAGACGAAACTCTTTTCGGCCGCCTAGGGCTGCAGAGGGGCTTGCTGAGTCGCGGGTCCGAATCTCATGACGGGAAACAAGTGACTGCTGACGCGGGGGAAACGGGAGTGGCGGAGAGATTCGCGGAGGAGAAGGACATGCGGGAAAGGAGGGTAAGGGAGCGAGATTTGCTGGGGATTCGACCCGGGTCGCCGGGGGCACAGCAGCAGCAGCAGCAGAAGCCGGAGAAGTGCGTCAAGTCGACCCTGCCGGGTTACACGGCGATGATCGCTCTGACTGATTACGCAGGGTGCGTTCTCATCCGATGAGCACCTGCTAGAATGTTTTTCCCGTTACAATGCGCTGGAGCATAAGCACATGCACATGTGATTTCTTTGCTAGTCGATTTTTGAGTCGACTAAAAAATACGCAGGGTGCGTTCTCATCTGATAAGCACCTGCTAGATTGTTTATCCATTATGATGCGCTCGAGCATAAGCACATTCACATGTGATTTCTTTGCTAGTCTTTCAAATCTCTTCGACGCGGAATCTCACTTCGTCCGCCTTCCAGTTATCCCGGTCCCCCTTATCCCCTTTTCCCTCTTCTGCCTCCCTCAACTGTCCCATTCTTCGATCGCGGACCCTCCTCGCAGGCTGTACTTTCATTTCAACGTGAAGGGCTCGACTCTCAAAGCAGCAGTGGAAGCGAGGACCATTGCAGATGGAGCGAGCAAGGGATGGTTTGCTATAGGCTTCTCCAAGACTGGCAAGATGGCGGGCTCCGATGTAGTTCTGGGAAATTACGTTCCGTCCACCAATAAGAAGCTGCCCGTGGGCTCCAAGCCGGGAATTGGCGGTCCACAACCAAGGCCCATTGCTTACTTAAGTGCGACCGGTACTAAGACTGACAACGGCACCAAGAGTGGTGGGACTGGGAAGAAGGGCAGCGAGGCTGGAATCGGGAGTACGAACAGCACGAAAGGTGGTAACAGTGGTAACAGTAGCAACCCTGGCAGCGGTAACGTGGGCAAGGGCGGCAAGCACAAGGGCGCGTTGGTGGGAGCATTCAACATGCAGAGCCTCACCATGGGAACGTACGCAATGGCAGACAACTTTAGGATCGCGAACGCCTCCGTTACAGCCACGAAGAGAGGCACCGTTGTAAGGTGAGCCTTGGTTCATCAACAGCGTCTCCTGTGACTGTTACATGATCCCTTCGTGCCTTGTGCCGTGAACCGTTTCAAAGTCTGAATTTCTTGCTTTCCCCTCCATTAACAGGTTCACGAGGAGCGGGCCTGGCGGGTCGGTGCCAGTGAAGTATGCTGGGCTCAACACGATCATCTGGTCCTACTCCTCAACTGGCGCAACCAAGGTGTTTGGAGGACATATGAGACACAGGTACGCGCCACAAGCAGGACAAAAAAATCGTGTGAACTGCATTTGTAATATCTTTCCTTTTTCACTGCCACACTTCCGGCTTCACTTTTCTGATTCCAAACCGTGTATCCCATGTGCGCCTGTTGCCTACACATCATGCAGGGGCAGTGCAGTGGTAAATCTGGCGTGCAAAGTCTGACCACTCGTGCAACTGATCTTGGATATTGCAACCTTTTGCCATATACATAGCCATAGCTACGTTTCTAGACTGCAAGCTTTTGTCAAATACATGGCCATAGCTACGTTTCTGCTAGTTGCTGACAAGGTTGGTAGTTACAGAAAATGCAATGACTTTTGAAACATTATTTTCTTACTAACTTGGGAAATACATAAGCTACAGAACCCTTGAAGCTCTTTTTGAATGGCCCCTCTGTATCCAATTGTTGCCATTCCTTGCCATAGCGTACTCAGGCGAGCGCAGTCCAAAGCAGATGTACCGAATCGCGAATGGAATAAGCGAATCGCAATTTGACTCGACCCCGTTTTGGAACTGCATTTTTGGGCGTCATTCCTCTCCCGCCCTTTTCCGCCGGCTCTTTTTTTCAACGACTGCTTCGCCAATTCCTTAACAACACACAAGCCACACAACCAGCCATGATTGCCCGAAGCCAGAACACAAAGTCGTTTTATCCTGCACGTAGCCAGCACATAGACTGCTCGCGTATTCCAATCGGCCGTTTTTTTTTTGTCATACGTACGAGAAATCTCCCCTCAGTTTCCTGGGTCAGAGATCATTCCACTTCTTGACGAAGGTGCTTCGTTATTCATCTCTAATCTCCTAGGTCTTTCTGTTCCCGCACTTCGAATCTACGGCAATCTCCTGTTCTCGAGTATCGCACGTAGACTCTACGTCAGACTTTTTCAGTCAGAAACCGCCCTGATGGCTTTCCGTCCAAGTCGTCCGTCAGTCAGTCTTCAACCCTACCCGTCCAACCTTTTTATAAAAAAGCACCTTTCTTTTCATGGTATTGCTCTTATCATCCACGTCGCTTGACCCATCAAAACCCGCAGAGCAGGGATATCTTAACTCTGCCCGCAGTGCCCATGGTTGTTTTCCACTAGCCGAGGCCAGGGACCCAGCGGGACAAAACAAAATTGGTCGGTTTAGCCTTCAGAGAGGGCTCATGGGTCTCGAGTCCGAATCGCAAGGTAGGGAGGAGGTGACAGTTGGTGCGGGGGAAACGGGTTTGGGGGAGAGATTAGCGCAGGAGGAGGGGGTGCGCGCGACGGGGAAAAGGAAACGAAGTTTGATGGGGCTTCGACCGGGATCGCAGGGGGGACAGCTGCAGCAGAAGCCAGCGAAGCGTGTCAAGTCGACCCTGCCGGGTTACACGGCGATGATCGCGTTGGCTGACTACGCAGGGTGCGCCTCCCATCGCTCGCTAGCATTTCACAACCATGTACCCAAAAATAGCGCCGCAGGGTGATTGCGTGTGTGGAGCCAAGGCTGTTGAGAGGCTATCATCTTTCCAGTATAATCTGCGTTGGCAACGCGGATTGTCTCGTCCCTCACCCATTGTTTCCCGTTTCAAACCGTTTGCCTTAATTTTCCCCTTCCGCTCCTTCCTTTCGCTCTCCTCCTTGCCCGTTTCCTTGTCTGAATTCCCCCCATCCGCCGCCTCTGCAGTTCTCACCTGCCCTGTCGTCATTCCTCTTGACACTACGTGCCCAGACCTGCGTGCCCGTTTCATTTTCAAAGAATATCGATTGTTTTTAGGGCGCCTGAGATAACGTTTTTTGCCTTCCTCGACACAATCCCTTGGTCATTCTTCAATTTGTATTGCAGGTTGTTCTTCCATTTCAAAGTGAAAGGCTCCACACTCAAGGCAGCAGTGGAAGCGAGGACCGTTGCTGATGGAGGCGCGAGCAAGGGATGGTTCGCTATAAGCTTCTCCAAGACCGGAAAAATGGCGGACTCGGATGTAATTCTGGGAAACTACATTCCCTACACCAATAAGAATCTTCCTGGGAGCCCCAAGCCGGGAAGCGGGGGCAGTCCGCAGCCAGGTGCGACTGGTACTACGACCGAAAACGGCACGGAGAGTGGTGGGACGGTGGAGGAAGGCAGTGGGCTTGGAAGCGGGAGTAAGGTGAGGTGAGTTTGTGTGTGTCATGTCTTGTGTTCATCGCGAAATTTCGAGTGAGCACAAATGTGACACGGTAGCTTTTCCTGCGGAAAAGCTTTGGAAAAGCTTCGGGAAACCTTCGGCGCGCACATTTGGCCCCAAATGGCCAAAGTGACATTGCAGCAACAAATCTCAATTGTCGCCTATGCAACTATGACGTCACAACTATGCCCTTAGTTAATCATGGACAAACATGATCCAGGCCATATCCCACTGCATTTCTCATAGTATGGGCTATTAATGTATAGTCGTAATCACAACTACCATGAAGTCGAGGCGCACGAGGCAGAGCTCCAAAATCCATCAATCGATCAGAGCAAACCTATTGAGTAGCAGCTCTCTAGGATTTGTGAACGACTTGCACACATGGACAATACGCTCGATCGATGCAACTTCAATTATCCCGTGCGTGGCCTCCCTCCGCCCCGGCACCAGTTGGGGGCAAGTCTGTGGACACACCCCCTCCTCCTCGTAATACTTCACGAAAACGTATGCACCCTCCCCCCCGCTGCCATTCACCGCCCTGAAAATACAGAGGCACCGCGCATACCACCACTTCTCCTCCTCCTCCCTCTCTCCCGGGATTGCAATGTCGGTGAACCAGTTCTCCTTCGGGCTTGCTTTCACGAACATCGCCTTCGGCACCAAGTACCCCCCTTTCGTGCTAGGGATGGCCACTGCTGTGTGCACCTGCTGTGCATGGGTGGGTTTTCACGAGGATCGTTACATTGTATCGCGATACCTTTCCACATGCGTCTCCCATTCACAGCGCACTAACCTGATTTACAACTAGATCCACCCGCCCAAGTTAACAGCAAAACACGGTATCTCATCAACACACGTGCAGTCTGCATGCCTTCCGCGGCCATTAGTGTCGCCATGTTGTCGAACTCGCTCCCCACCGTCTCCCTGTACAGCGTGCGCATTGGATCGTCATCCGTCATGAGACACATGGCCTTGCTGGTGCGGGTCAGCGCGGGCTTCATGTTGCGCACAGCCTGTGTGGTGGATTGTGAGCACGGATGGGAGGAAATGGTGGCGTGATTAGTTTTAGACAGCACGCACACCTGTGTGTCTTTTACAAACGCCACCTACACTAAGAAAGCGACGGGTGATGTACCTCTCGCAATGCGGTGTAGTATGTTCTCCCACCACCCGACAATGCCGCAATCTCCCTTGTGATCTCGCGCTGTGTCTCCTCCTCCACAATCCTCCTTGGTATGTCTTTCCAGTTGCTTCCACGCACGGGGCCTTTCACTGTGCCCTTGTGGGTATGCTCCCACAGCTTCGTCGAATACTCATGCGGCAAACCCCTCATGGATATGCCATCAATGAGGTGCACTACTTCGCGGAGCTTCACAAAGTTCCACTTCGACTTCTACTTCGGGAAAGCCGCCTTCAGTGCAGCAACCAGCCTACACGAACGTGTTGACACATCGTAATGAGCGCATTCTACTAGCAGCATATTTGGGGAACAACGCCAGTAATAGTACAAATACGTCGTCCTGCAATTATACTCACGAGATTCCATGTTGCCTTGCGATAGCGAGGGTCAGCCCCGTGTGCTTGGTCATGGCCAGCAGGGACTTGTAGAAGACCGCATAGTAGCGGAAGGCACGAACCTCTTTGTCCCTCTGGTCCCGTTCCTCCGCAGAGCGCCCCACACACAGGTCCGAAATGATAATTGGGAAAACTTGCATCATGCCACGATACTCGAAAGCTGCGTAATTCGCCCCGCTGCAGAAAAAGGTGGAGCCATCCGGGATGCACACCAGGACACTCCTTGTGTCGCCCTTCACTCCAAACTTGCGGCTGTTCCAGGCACCAAGCACCCATAGGCAACGCAATGCAAAAGTTTCCGTGGTGAGATCCGCCACGGGCGTAGTACCGCATACAAAACAATGCACGGTAGCTCCGAGTACTCATTGATCAAACCCTCGTATCTCGGCCTTCGTCTTCCCCTCCATGAAACAGGTAGCCATATGCACCAGCACCCGAGAATCCAGCACATGCAATATGTTGCCAACAACAGCCAGGAAAACGTTACCCCACTTCATCTCAGAGAAGTTCCAGCGCTCCAGAACGCTATGCACATTCGAGGGCGATGTCAGACTGGTCGTAACGGTCAACAATACGCCTCAAGGATCATGTGCCTACAAGATGCCTGAACAATCATGTGCCCAAAAGATGCCTCAAGGATCATGTGCCTACAAGATGCCTGAACAATCATGTGCCCAAAAGATGCCTCAAGGATCATGTGCCTACAAGATGCCTCAAGGATCATGTGCCTACATAACAATCACGTGCCTACAAGATGCCTCAACAACCATGTGACTTGCCACACATGAACACATCGCGCGCACCGTGATCGGATGCGAAGACCACCTGGCCTGGACCGCTGCAGCTTCGTCCACCGTCTTTGCGCTCAGTATCATCGCCACCGCGTGCCGCTCTCTCTTCACTGTGCGCACTATGTACTCGTTGGACAGGTCATGGAGGTGCGCCCTCTTGATGTAGCAGCTCGAGCACGGTCTGTGCGAAGCCTGCTGCATCGTTGTTGTGGCCCGGCACCCTTCCGGATAGTCGCCGACGAATGCATATAGGCATGGATATGCCTTCACCACACCTCCGCGCCCGTCTGACACATCAAAGAGTCGAAGCGGACCACAGCATGCACAATGTAAAGGCTCGATGGCTTTCAATCGCCGACCATGAACCCCATCGCCGCCAACGGCCTACATCATACATTCAGACCACTTACTCGCGGCTCTCTCGCATCAACGGACCCATCACAATGCGATACGCCTCCTGATACACCCGAGTCTTCTCCGTCGCCGATGCCCACTCTGGCGGAAAAGGGAGCACACCCACTAGAGCGTGCCCTGGCTCACGCCATCGTAACTTATCCGGGACATTGGCCAAACCCATCAGCATTGGCCATGCCTGTAGGCGTCCGTTCCCTGACGCGTAGGTGTTGTCGCTGTACGAGGTGACACCCAGCACAATTGAATCCTCCTCCAGCAGTTCCGCCTGACAACGACACAACGTGACCCAGTAAGTCAGACCAAGTCACACCGTCGCCCCATGTGATGCGGCAGGAACTTGTGCATCTACTTGCCTGCGCCTCTTCCAGCCATGTCCCTGTGTCGGGCGTACTGAAATGTCTCGTCTCTATTGTATCCTCCAGATCTCGCCGCGGCCTTTTGACAAATCCCCTGACATTCACAAATGTCTTCACCATCTTCTGCGCTATCTGTCCAAACAGAGGCGGCAAAACCATTTCTTGAGTCAGTACATAAACAGGCAGAGACCTGTCAGTAGATCTGCACTGTGGATGCCCGATTGATCCTGGAGAGGGTTACAGGCGCCTTCGCCTGGGGGGTTATGGGCGCACTGACCCGCCACTGAAAAAAAGCCCTTTTATCCCAATGGTCTAGTGGTTGGGATTCTGACATGGTATCAGAGCGGTCTCGGGTTCGATTCCCGGTGTATGCACATGTAGGCCATTGCCGCTGTGCTTAGTCCTGGGCCTCCCAGTGTGGGGGGGTGTCAGTAGATCTGCACTGTGGATGCCCGATTGATCCTGGAGAGGGTTACAGGCGCCTTCGCCTGGGGGGTTATGGGCGCACTGACCCGCCACTGAAAAAAAGCCCTTATATCCCAATGGTCTAGTGGTTGGGATTCTGACAAGACCCGCCGGCTCGTTACTGCACCCATCATCAATCGCTCACCAGCTTGGTGTCCTTGTACAACAGTTCTAGCATCTGAGACCTTCCTCCGGGCCCCCGCACCTTGATCTCTGCCTTGAGCCACGGCACCATGTCGTCGGGCGCGTGTTCCTCCCCATACTGCCTCACGTCCGCGACTTTCTACCAGCGACGAACCGCGACAGGATCGTATCCCGGGTGGTTGAATATGTGCAACACTCTATTTATTTCTCTGTCCAATAAATCCCGCATCCTTAAAGAACAATTACAGCTCGTTTAGTGTATTGAACAGGTCGCCAACTGTGGAAACCGATCCATCGTCCGACGACGACACATAACCGCGCACAAAGTCCGCGCGCTCAGGGACCTCTATGAGATATCGGAACAGCGAGTCCGCGGAGTGGGGGCTACTCGGGACAGACTCACTGTTCGAATGATGCGGGCTACTTCTGACCGAGGCCAAAGCCTCCGCCAACGCCTCCACCACCCTACTCTCTAACTTGGCAAGCAGCGTGTCCCTGCACGTGTCATTTCGATACAGATGGATCCTCAGCAAGTTGTCTGAGCAAAGTTCCTGGACACATGCACCGCACCTGTTCCCTGCCATGTGACCTAATCTACGCACCCACCCCTACCCAAGGGCCGTACCCTGACTTCCCCTCTAGTCCCCCCTTGCCTACCGACCCGTCATGCATGTTCTACACTACACGCAGGACCACCTATGCGCTCTTTGCGCCACTCACGACCTGCATCCAGCCACCGAAACCGCGGACTCTACTTCTCGCGCACCGCCGAGCATCCTATTATTCTGCTTACCATTAAGGCATCTGAGGATCATCTGTATACCTACTACGCCACCCCACTATCACCGGTTGTATAATGGCGGCTAGACGACATCGTGCAAGCACGATGGGCGGAGAGTCTGTGCGGTCAGCCTTATCCGTAACGAGAAATCCTAACCGGCTCAAATGTCTACGGTAAGAATTCCCCTCGTTGAGTATCCACTTCCCGCTTTCAGGGTTTGTGGTTACACCACTGAGGGTGTATACTTGATACAGCAGAGCAACGGGCATCAATGATACCACTTCGTATGTATTTGATGCACAATCCCGCTACATTAATACACATAAACGCCAATTACTACAACAAAAGCCAACTCATATTCAAAACCGCCCTGGTCTCCTCCCACCATTACAGGCACATAGAGTCAGAAGAGCATAATAGTAATCTACTACAAATCCATCTTCTCCAAAACTCCAGACTTTC